GTAGTTCTTTTAAATAATTTCATTTATTTACGATTTGATGAGGCCTTTAACATTTTCTGGATCGAATCTTTTTTGCATGTTTTTTCCCTTTCATAGTGATATCTCTAATTTAAAAATATTTTTATTTTAATATGGCGGCACTTCCGGAAGTACCGAAAATTGACATCAACTTTCATATTTGAAATGGCTATTGCTTTTCTCTTCTTATACATAGATATAAATTTCCTGTAGAATGCCATGAACTTTAATATCAGACATTCTATACAGGGTTGTCCACCACATACGACACGGAGTATTGTAGCTAAACGATTAGATTTTTACAAATTGTAAGTTTTGGGTTCGTTGAAGGACTATTAGAGCTACAATTTAAAAATATTTTTACAAGATACAGAGTGTCCCAAATAAATAAACAATATCAAAGTTGTATTTTTTTAAATGGAACTCCCTGTATATTATTACATTTTTAGTTTCTACGATTAAAATAGAGGTAAATTTGATTAAGGTTTATTACACTTAAACCTTTTAGAATTTTAGAATTTAGAATGAGTGGGAGGGGGGTTAATCACTTCGACCTTACAGATCCATTGTGTCCCCCTTTCTTGAATCATAACTCATCATACAGTCCCAGGGCTTTAACAAAAGCCAGTATCTGGGACGGTTTTATAGAGGGTAGTTCTCCATCTCCAATATCAGTCGTACCAAAATTCATGGCACGAATGGTTGTCGTCTCGGCGCACTCAGTGATGAGGTGTACTGGTGTTTCCCATCTTCCCCACAGAATCTGCATTCGCCGTTTCTTCTTAGTTTCAATCTACTGAGGTGTTCATTGAAGAGACAGTGTCCTGTTAAAAACCCCGTGACAATCCGAAGATTGTTCTTACTCAGACCCAGGAAGATCTGTGATTTTTCTTGATCATAAGCCCTCAGAAACTTCTTCGGGTGTCTAGACCATTGCAAGATTTCCATTCTAGGTTGCGGATGGAATCTTCCAAGTTCTTGAGTTCCGCCTTGAGTTGGTTACCACTTGGAAAGCAGAACGGTTCTGGTCCAGTTAGTGGAGTGTTCGCTCCTTTCCTAGCTAGATTATTTGCTTTTTCATTGCCTTTTATCCCTTGGTGAGCAGGCACACTTAACCAAACCTTACCGATTTTGAAATATTTTCAATTTTGTGAAATTGCAGTCAAAATTTTAAGGCTTTATTTCTCCAAGGGTATCAATGTTTTTAATACTAAATATTTACTGATATTTATTTATTGATCAGTCATTGTGTTGCAAAATTATACTACCTTATACAGAGTGTCTAAAATTTTATTTTAAATAATTACTAACTTTAAACGGCAATAACTTGTTTAATTTAAATGGAACACCCTGTATATTTTATGAGAATCAGATGCACAATTTAATTGTCTATCAAATTGTATTATACCATTTTTTTCCTATAGCTTCAAGTTTCCGTAGAAAATGCATTTTCTTGTAATTTTAATTCATTTATCAATATACCCATGGAATACTGACATTTTAGATTATTTTTAAAGATGTACCAAATTTTTAAAGAGTACAGATACTAATATTGTCGATATAGTTTGTTTATTTCATTAAGAAATAAAACAACTCTTTAAATATTTTTAAAGGACCAATTAATATGATTCCAGTATTCAAACTACTTTAATTGACTGTTGGCGTTGATTAATAATAATTACTCCAAATACTAAAAAACTGAATTTTGTATGTGTATCAGACAGTGTGGTGAAAAGTAACACCTTAAAAATGATATGTCATTTTTTGACAAATGCTTATTACTAGCCTGTACATTTTGTACATTTGTTGCTTTAAAAACAATCTAAAATGTCAATATTCCATGGGTATATTGATAAATGAGGTCTAAATTATAAGAAAATGCATTTTCTACGAAAACTTGAAGGGATGGGTAAAAAGTGGTATAATACAATTTGATAGACAATTAAATTGTACATCTGATTCTCCTAAAATATACAGGGCCTTCCGTTTAAATTAAACAAGTTATTGCCGTTTAAAGCTAGCAATAATTTAAAATAAATTTTTAGACACTCTGTATGAGGTAGTATTATTTTTATTATTGCAACACAATAACTGATCAATAAATAGACTTCAGTAAATATTTAGTATTAAAAACTTTGATACCCTTGGAGAAATGAAGCCTTAAAATTTTGACTGCAATTTCACAAAATTGAAAATATTTCAAAAACGGAATGGTTTAAGTGTGATAAACCTTAATCAAATTTACCTTTATTTTAATCGTAGAAACTAAAAATGTAATAATATACAAGGCGTTCCATTTAAAAAAATACAACTTTGATATTTTTTATTTATTTGGGACACTCTGTATATTGTAAAAATATTTTTAAATTGTAGCTCTAATAGTCCTTCAATGAACCCAAAACTTACAATTTCTAAAAATCTAATCATTTAGCTACAATACTCCGTGACGTATGTGGTGAACAACCCTGTATATCTAAAGTTAGTAGATAAAAAGCTGTTTTTGCATTTGAAATTTGAATAGAGTGACTTATAATATTATTTTTTTATGGTATTCAAACAATACGAATATTCCGAAATTTGTATTATTGAAATTGGTAATTGCATGTCTTTTCTTTAAGATACAGTGTTTTAACTGATGGCCACTAACGATGATGTTCAATAACTTTTTTTTAAATAAGAAAGTTTCTTTCATCCGCTGGGAGTTGAAAATATTTTTATTTCACATATTCAAAATATGTTAAAATATTGAAAATATGTGAAATAAAAATATTTTCAGCTCTCTATGGCCATATTGAAAATATTTTTATTCCACAGATCCTATTGTGAAACACTGAGGAGCAAAAAAACTTCCGATCTAGATTTATAATAATAAACAAAATCCACGAATAAATGATTAATTAAAAAGAGAATGGAGAAGCGTAAATTATACAAAACCCGGGTACGACTCCGCCTTCCGCTTCCTTTTAAAATCTATACGATACTCTGACACTAGATCTTTAAGTTCTCTAGAAACTTCTAAGGCAAGCTTAACATGGAACATCCCGTATATCTAAGTGCATTAGTTAATTGGTATTAGTGCAAAACAATGACTTTTGCATTCATCTAGTTAAAGTCAGGCCAGAGATAATAGAACGGTAAAAGGTAATTGGTAATTATTCTTTTTTGTTTTGAAACTAATTCAGGAAAAACACATCAAACATAAATGGTCTACAAATTAAAGACAATTAACTTTATGTCAAATAACGTATAATAATTCAATAGAATATGAGTACATTCATTATCATTAAAGTAAATAATATTCGGGGAACAAATGATATTAGCCACAAATAATATTTGTCTTAAATAAATACAATAATTACTACTTACTAAAAACTCCATTAAAATACATGGTATTAATAGTATAGAGTTCACGGAACATATCAAATTGAATAAACCGTTTTTGTGTACAACAAATTTACAGCTTTTTTTAATATATTGTGTCAATTTTATGTGACACATAAAATGAGCATAGAAAATTTCCCCAATTATTTTGGTTTCTGTTGGTCTCAAATATTACGTCAGTATATAAAAAGTGAATCTATGACTTGTTTTAATAAGTTTATTTTCCAATTTATTTTCATGTATCCACAATAGAATAAACTAGTTTTTTAAATTATCCTTAAATGACGTGGAAAAAACGTTAATTTTGATTTAGTACCAATATCCTAATATGTATTTGATTGCCTACGTACTAGTATTATTTTCAATTTCATTTGTAATCTCTACAACTACTTAACTTTTATTGTTTTCAAACAATACGAAGTTTAAAATGTTATGGTTATAAGAGCCTTATTTGATGCACATCAACGTATTTTTGTTAATTTTGATTTAGTACCAATATCCTAATATGTATTTGATTGCCTACGTACTAGTATTATTTTCAATTTCATTTGTAATCTCTACAACTAACTCTTATTGTTTTAAAACAATACGAAGTTTAAAATGTTATGGTTATAAGATCCTTATTTGATGCACATCAACGTATTTTAAAATAAATAGCTCAATGAATAATCCTAGAAATTATTCTGACTTACATAAAAAAGTAATGATAAAAATAATGATGATTGATTATATAAAATCTAAGAATCAAAAATAGGAATTGGTTAAAAAAATAGAATACAAATCACTAAGTAGTACCTACATTGATTGAGAAAAAATATACAGGATGAGTCTTAAATAAGTGCAAATATTTTCAGGGCTGTTATAGATCTCCATAAAAGAAACATATTTTTTCTTTACCGTTTTTCAAATAAATCTAAAATAATCGAGATATTTTACTTTGAAAATTCAATGTTAATTAGCGCTGATCAATATTGTTGGGATGAATATAATCAGATTAAATAATTTACGAATCCAGAGTCGAACTTGAAATTATTTTAAATAATAATTAAATAGTTTTGTTGCTGTTAAGGTATCCAAAACAAAAAAAAAGTATAAAGTGTGGCATATCATTGTATTCAGAAGACCGAGTTCTTTCAAAACCTAAAATAAAAAATGCAGGTCCGTATTTAAAAAAAATAAGTTGGCCTCTATCTCACAAATTATCAGCTAATTTGAAAATCTAAAAAAACTGTCAGATAGCCCTAATAAAGTGGCTATGAGAATGTCCAATTAGTTTTTTGATTTCCGAAAAATTAAGGACAGGAAAAAATAGAATTGATTTTGAAAAAAATCAGTTTTTTCCAAAAAACTCAGCAATCCTTGAAATTTTTAAAACTTTTTTGATGGCATCTTGGTGAACATCCCAATACACAACTTTGCCCCAATTTAACCATGTTCGTATTATTAGTTAGTACTATTACGGTTACCGAGATACCAATGCTCGTACCTCGAATTTGTAGCACCCTGTATACGGGAAGCTGTCGCTAGAATATTCTATTAATTTTAATTGTGCTTTTTAGACATTGTGAATGATCGTAAACTAAAAAGTATAAGGTGTAATTGAAACCACTAATTTATTGCTCTAATTGCGAGGTTCTGAATGAAGCTTTACAATTAAATAAATGAAGAAAAAAATATGGTTCTCAATATTTAAAAAAAAAGATGTGTCCTAATATTAAAACTATGTACTTACTGTAGGTGGTCTATGGAATACTTTATTATAAATATCGTCATCTTAAATCATACGGGGTGTTCAAAATTCTATGCCAACCTTTCTAATAATATAAAATATTTTTTCTTTGTTTTTTTTTTTAATAGAACAACTTGTATATTTATTTTGTTAAATGGGGAATTAAAAAATAAACATTTTTCGTATTTAAAGTATTTAAAAATGTTTAATGGTTTCGCACATATTTAGGGATTTATTTGCTCTTTGTTCAAATTTTTTTGTTTCGATATTTACTTTAACATCGTATTAACCAGATCGAATCAAACATTAGAACCAATAATAAATATTAAATTAATACTTACAACGATAATTTTTTTTAAATAACAAACTAAACTACATATAGTATGTAAGTGTTTTTAAGTAAAAATATAAGAATTATTGGTATGTTAATTTGTCTTGTCAAAGTAATTAATAACATTTTGTTAGAACTACCTTAATATTCAGTTGTTGTACAGTTAAGTTTTGGAAAAATAACTTATTAATATAAAGACTCATTCAAAAGGATTCGATTAATTTTCTGCTGTCTAGGTTATTCCTGTTTTTCTTCTGGGGAAATTTCCTTCTTCTCTTTCTTTTTTTGCGGCAAAACATACGACCGGATGTAGAAGTCTCCAAACAAAGCAATAATAAACAAATTTTGCGGAATCAAGAACAAGGAAACGATTTTCGGAAATCCACAATCTTGAAGGAACAACAATCTCGTGAACATGAAGAGTATGAATCCAAACTGAATCTAAAAATAATAGTTAAAAGATGTGATGAAATGAAAAAAAGATCGTATTTTTAGCTCAACATTAAGTATGAGCTAAATAGAATATAAAAATTCCTAATTTTGAAATAATTACTACCAACTTGTACAATTATTTTGATGAAATTTAGAACTGAAAAAATTATCAAATAATTAGTTTAGTTACAATTCCTGCATCGTCATATTTTAAATAGGAAGATAAATATTACTTGATTGATCTATATTTAATTGGCTTGAAAATTTTCTATATTCTAAATGGTCATCAATGGTCTAAATGGGCTATTTTTAAATGGTCAAATACACTCACCAACACAAAAACCGAACATCTTAAATTTTGGATGTTTTAAAGTTTAATATATTTTGTTCTAGTGGGCCGATTTTGATGATTTTTTAAGCAATTTGTACCTAAATTCTTTGAATTTTTACTATCTCTTTCTAATTTAAAAATTATAGTTTTCTTCTTAGCTCAGAGCCTATACAGGCCGAGGTTCAAGAAATTAGAGACAAGCTGAAATTTGGCATGTAGCTTCATTTTGTAGATCTTTGAACATCCTAAAACCCCAGCGATGAACAGTTGAGCTCGTCACCCCAAAACCACCCCTACAAGGGGTAAAAATGGCCCTTTCTTACTTTTCCTTCAATAACTCTAAAACTACGAATTTTAGGAAAAAAAGTAACGAGTAAAAAATTGAAGAGAAGAAAATTTCCTACCATATAGATAAATAATCAAAATTTTTAGAATTTCAGTGGCGCAGGTGCGAATTCTTTAATTTAGGTGGATTGTTTTAATAACCCATCATTCTGTGTTCAACTACAAATGAAAGCATTTTTGAGATAAATCTCGAGACCAAAAAATTTATTAGGATACAAGTTCCTATAAAAACGATCTTTTTAATAAAGGTAAGTTAGCAGTTTCGGAGATAATTTTTTTAAATGTGCGTTTTTTATATTTTAAAAACATTGAATAAGAAAAATTGCAGTTTTACAAATAATTTACCATGAAATAGGTAGGTATATTGAAAAATTTACACGTTGAATAACGATAAATAATCAAAATTTTTAGAATTTCAGTGGCGCAGGTGCGAATTCTTTAATTTAGGTGGATTGTTTTAATAACCCATCATTCTGTGTTTAACTACAAATGAAAGCATTTTTGAGATAAATCTCGAGACCAAAAAATGTATTAGAATACAAGTTCCTATAAAAACTATCTTTTTAATAAAGGTAAGTTACCAGTGGCGGAGATGATTTTTTTAAATGTGCGTTTTTTACATTTTAAAAACATTGAATAAGAAAAATTGCAGTTTTACAAATAATTTACCATGAAATAGGTATATTGAAAAATTTACACGTTTAATAACAAAATAAGAAAAACCTTAGCTCAAAAATAGGATAACTTATCTTAAGGATAGTCCTCATTCACTTCCACATTTGTTGGGTTCATACATGTAATGCCTCTGCATTGACCACATGCCATAGTGCAGGCGAGTCCCATTCGCTTGCATGTACATGCTTCTTTACAGCCTCCCGAAGTGCAAATGCAAAAATTTTTTCTAATTCTAAAACCCATGTAGGAGCAATGGGCTGATCTGAAAGTATTGGATTCATCTCTCGATTTTTCAGATTCCTACACCAATCTTGCGGTGGTAAATTGTTATTTAATCAAGCCTGTACCTGTAAGTTAAAAATGAGAATTCAGTTTAACATTTGAATGCAACATAAATTTAACTTACCTGATGAAAAACTCTAAGTCCATAAATCTACTTTTTTTGTCGAGTTTTTAACATATGTTGCTATAAAAAACTGAGATGTAACTTCTTCTAACTTCTCCTTTGTAGCCTCGGGATTATAAAATTCTTTTAATACCTCTCACTAATAACTTTTTCTTCTGGATAGTGTTCATTAAATTAATCTTCCCTTTATTGAACACAACAGACGTTGTATCACAACCAGATATAACGTGAACACTAAAAATCACATTCTTCAGATCCCCCAATTTTTGTTGTAAGGCAGATATCGATTATTTTATTTGGTTTTGATACCTATCCCGGACGAATCATAAATAGTCTCTTGTGGAAATAATGAATCAGTAACACTATAATGTCCGTATCTTCGCTAACTCCTCCTATGGGCCCTTCTGATAAATTGCAATTTATTGCGACTGCTGTAGTTACAATAAGAGTATCGGCATTCGGCATCACCATCAGCGAGTTTAACAGTGATTCCATTTTCCAACAATAGTTTTTCGAGCGCACGAATTAAGTTGCTTTTGTTGATGTTGTTTGACAAAAAATCTGCCTTTCACTGCAGATAAATTCGAGAAAGATACAATTGGTACCATTTTTTTGCCTGCAGATCTGCGATTCTGCTCCACAATTTTGGTCTGTATCTCTTCATAGCCATCAAAAACAACAGTGACATTTTTACCATAGTGATATGTTATCTAATTATAGTATTGTGAGAAAACAGATCTGGAAAATATGGCAGGGTTTTGCCAAACTACCTTATAAAGCAAGTGCTCCCCATCTATTACGTTTTTTTATTTGTTAGTTTTTTATAGCAGCATATGTTAAAAACTCGACAAAAAACATACACATGCTTTATCAACAGTACCTAGCTAAACGAAGTCTTAATACCAACTTCAACTTGGCATCATTACCACCTACATACCTCCAATAGTGCGAAATATCATGGACTTAGAATTTTTCATCAGGTCAGTTAAATTTATGTTGCATTCAAATGTTAAACTAAATTCTCAGGTACAGACTAAAACTTACAGGTACAGGCTTGGTTAAATAACAATTTACCACCGCAAGATTGGGGTTGGAATCTGAAAAAATCGAGAGATGAATCCAATACATTCAGGTCAGCCCATTGCTCCTACATGGGTTTTAGAGAAAATTTTTTGCAATTGCTCTTAGGGAGGCTGTAAAAAAGCATGTACATGCAAGCGAATGGGACTCACCTGCACTATGGCATGTGGTCAATGCAATGGCATTACATGTATGAACCCAACAAATGTGGAAGTAAATGAGGACTATCCTTAAGATAAGTTATCCTATTTTTGAGCTAAGTTTTTTCTTATTTTGTTATTAAACGTGTAAATTTTTCAATATACCTACCTATTTCATGGTAAATTATTTGTAAAACTGCAATTTTTCTTATTCAATGTTTTTAAAATATAAAAAACGCACATTTAAAAAAATTATCTCCGAAACTGCTAACTTACCTTTATTAAAAAGATCGTTTTTATAGGAACTTGTATCCTAATAAATTTTTTGGTCTCGAGATTTATCTCAAAAATGCTTTCATTTGTAGTTAAACACAGAATGGTGGGTTATTAAAACAATCCTCCTAAATTAAAGAATTCGCACCTGCGTCACTGAAATTCTAAAAATTTTGGTTCTTTACTTATGTGGTAAAAAATTCTCTTCTCTTCAATTTTTTACTCGTGACTTTTTTTCCTAAAATTCGTAGTTTTAGAGTTATTGAAGAAAAAGTAAAAAAGGGCCATTTTTAGTTTTGGGGTGATGGACTCAATGCCTCAGCGCTGGAGTTTCAGAGGACATTTAGCACCTTAAAACAAAGTATCTTACAAAATTGCAGCTTGTCTCTAATTTGTTGAAGGTCACCCATGTAAAACGAGGTATCGGCCCTGATCTGTCTATCAATTATACGAGGGAAACAAAACGTTGATATCTTAGTAAAAGTTTCAAACGCCCTGTGGAATATGTTAATAAAGCAAGAAATTTAAAAATTATTTTATCATCTAGGTACATCTTTTTTCGATAGTTTGTTTTTTAACTCATCACAATTGCTTTTTTTTATTATAGCAATATTTTTGTTGAAGATATTCGCTGTTGAATAAGACAGTAACGATTTACATCAATTTTAGCGTTGATTTTGGGTTCTCATCACGACATTTATAAAATAGTGTATATTGTTTTTGTAATATCACTGTCATTGAAAAGTCATATCAGTATTATTTATAGTATCGGCTATTGCTGCTTTAATTGATCCTGGTAGAGATCAACTTTTGAACTTAAAACCATCTCTGCTAAAGTAACTGCCTAACAGACAATAATGCTATGATTTTTCATGTCATAATATGACATTACATAAATCATAAACAAAGCATGGTTTTAATGTAAAAATACGAAAAAATGTTAGTCTTCTTGAGACAACTAGGTGATAAAAATGTTAAATTTCTTGCTTTGTTATCTTCCACCACAACTTTCAAACTAAAATATCAACATTTTGTTTTCCATCGTAATTGACAGATGGCAACTTTCATTTTTAATTTAGAAAGAGATACTGAAAAATCAAATAATTCAGCTACAAGTAATTCAGCTACAAATTGTTGTTGCAGCCCGGCTGGCGCGGCGGGAGGATGCCCGCAGGAAGGCGTTCTCTCCCCTCTGCTGTTGAATGTCGTTATGGACGGACTCCTTAATAGTCTCAACAGGGCTAGTTTCAACACTCAGGGATATACAGACGCTTTGGTCGTGATAGTCAGAGGTAAGTTTAACATAACAGTAAGGGAGCAAATGCAGAGGGCCCTGAAGATTGTGGAATAATGGGTGACACGGAAGGGACCAAATATTAGTCCTACAAAGACCGTAATAATCCCCTTCACCAAGCAAAGAATTTAGGAGAGACTATGATGGCTAAGACTCTGCCGTGATAAGATTCCTCTATCGGGGAGGTCAAGTATCTAGGAATCACGCTGGATACTGCCTGGAACGCCAAACTGACCTGGAACCGATTTGGAAAATGTCACAAGGAGGGCGGTGACTACACTAGCGGTAGTCAGACGACTTCATGGAAATATCTGGGGCCTCAGACCACAGATGGCTGTACTCTGGGGTAGTGAGGCCTTCAGTAACACATGCATCCTTAGTATGGTGGTCTAAGGTACTGCAACAACAACAATGCTCAGCCTCAGCAAGGTGCAAAGACTTCCTAGTCTAAGCATAGCAGGGGCGATGAAATCAATGCCCACTGCATCAATGGAGGCGCTTCTGGACCTTCACATAGTGATCCAGGCGGAGGCAAGATTAGAACTATATCGACAACAAAGTATGTTGTCTCTGGGAAGTAGGACAGAAACAGGATACTAAAAGACGGGGGATTCTATCGGGGGACTTCTACTCCAAATGAGATCAGGCCAAATGACCCGTCTTTATCACTACCACAAACCATTCAAGGTGAACAAACCGGATCGAGGAATTTTGACAGATATAAAATTCCTTCAGGACGGACTAACTTGGTATACAGACGGGTCAAAGACCGCTGAAGGAACAGGAGCTGGAGTATTTGGGAAAAGACCAAGAGTAAGCTTATCCTTTTCCTTGGGTAAATACCCAAAAGTATTCCAAACAGAAATCTTCCCCATTCTACAAGAGAAAACAATAGAAGGCCTTATTCAGGTTAGCTCATCAATATATGCTCAGACACAGCCCCTTATTATTGGAAAAAAATAAGACTCCCCCTGTATATATCAAACAAAATTGCAAATTTTGGTAAACCGAATTTTGAAAAAGCACTATTATACAGTTTTTCTGTAAAAAAAAATAAAAAAATCTTCGGATTTATAATTTTGAGAGGTCATTAAATAAACAGTATATTTAGTTTAAAAACAGATATTTCAAAAACCACTTGGTATAGTATATGACATTATGGTATTTTTAGAATAGAAAATTACTAGAACTGAGCTAAAAATATATATAGTATTCCATTTAAAAACATAAAACTTTATTTTGAAAACATGTTTGAATCGCACTGTAAGTTTACAAAAATATTTTCAAAATGTGCTTTACCATTGTCTCCATATTATGTAAAAAAATTAAATATAGATCACAAACCGAAATCCTAGTACAGAATACGCTCCTTTGAACGCATATTTTAAATGGATTTGGTTTCAATCAACTTCTATAGAGCTATAATACTTAAAAACAATTTCAGAAATATCTTACCAACTGAGTTTGAGTAATAAACTTCTTCAACCAAACCAGCCGTCCATATTTGCTATCATATGCTGTCAACAAATAGTAAGCGTACAATATGCTATGAACGATACAATTGGCCAAACCAACGAAGTAACAGTGTCCACCTCCAATAAATTTAACTGCTATCCAACCTAATACTACCATTCCAAAATGATGGTAAGTATGCAAGAAGCTTATGTGGGTGTTCTTTTTTCTTAAAACGAAAAATACCTAAAATTATGTTATTGATTATACTAAAATACACACAACCAAACTTATATGAAATCATCCATTATTTTTCATAATTTTTGAGACGCATGAAAATTTTGTGTTTATGAATAAAACTCAATCCTTACCAATGACTTTTAATGAAAAATAATGCATATAGCAATAAAAAAAATAATCAGTTCCCAAAATGAACATACTGGTATATTTTTGGTTTCTGAAACGAAATTAAGATTTAAATTTTTAATGGCCAAAAAGCAAAAGAACCATTACAGTTCTTTCTTCTTTCTTTATATCTTGGTATAGATTTGGCAGCCTAGAGTCTCGCTCGTCTTCCTGGAGCTCTGAGAACCCGAATCCGATGATCATCTGATCTTAGACCAATTCTGGTCTCATCCGAAAAAAAGAACATTTTGCCAATTCTGAGTTGTCCAGTTTTGATGTTAAAGGCATCAATTTAGCCGGTCAATTTTATTTTGCCGATATAACTGTGGGATCCTGCTGCCAAACCCTCGAGCACGAAGCCTTTTTCTTACGGTTTCAACTGAAACATTCACACTTGTAGCTGCCAGAAGTTCTCTTTGTAGTTCTGGATGAGAGATGTGAGAGCTTTCACGTCTATGTCTTGTTTTGCTGATTCCATCTGTTGCACCATATGTTCAGTATTATTTCTCTGTATCCTCCCTTTGTGTTAAAAGGTGTATTGATATCATGGAACTAATTACTTCTGCAGCATCTGCTGATATAGTGCGGTACCCTCGACATATTCGCAGCACCAATTGTTCTTTGAACTGCCCTTAATCTTTCCCTGTTCTTCTTAACTTCAACGGATTCTCCCCAAACTTTTGCAGCATACAAAATGGTAGATATCCGAACGGCATGGCAGCCAACATTCTTCGCTTGGTTTTCCCCATAATTGACCAGTTCGGCATAAGCTTTGATAATACATTGCCTCTCTGATTTTGCCGCTAACGTGCGTATGTGCTGAGTAAAATTTCCTCCAGCTCGAAATGTCACTCCCAAGTATTTTATTGTGCTTTAAAGCATAATGGCTTTGTCCTTTACTAGAATGTCCCAGACTGATAATTTGAATTAATCTCCTCCGAGTTAATTTAAACATTCTGTTTTGTGCGGAGCAATTTTCAACCCCACCTCTTCCATCCAGGAACATACCTGAAACGTTGCCTGTTCTGCTATCGTAAAATGATTTCCGATAAAAGCGATGTAATCAGCGTAGGCCAGTACTTCTGTGCCATAGAGAAATTGAAGTCTGAGAAGTCCGTCATATAAGATATTCCAGAGCTAGTATGGACCCCAGCGGCACGCCTTTTCTCAATTCCAAGTCGCAGTCAGCGATCAAAATAGATCGATCACTTAAATAACTTTTGATGCGTTCAATAAATACTGCCTAACATTGACTGGGAGCTAGTATTGACCCCTGTGACAATGTTAGGCAACAAATACTGCCTAACATTCCAACTCAGACATGAGTTAATTTATAACTCATCTATATATAACTCATGTATACTAAGGGCTGGCAAAGGTTAGTCTTGAGTCGAGATTTCCGTATGTAAGAAGAGTACAATGCGTTTATAATGTACTGAACAAAGAGAGGACAGTAAACACGTTGCCAAACGTATGAAATAAACCGAGAAACTGTGCACATCGCTATAGCAGATTTGTCGCAGTTGACCGGTCGACCCAATCAATACCTCTGTCAGTACTTAAAGTTCTAGGGAAAGGTGCATGTCATGCGTTTAGTTTCACGATTTAATTACGTCTCGTGATACTTAATTTGTTTATTTATTAACGAGTCGTTGTAATTTTCCCTATAGCTTGATTTTTTTTAACTGCAAGCTAGAAACACTTGCATTTTTGGTAAAAATAAGTGGAATTGAGTGGGTGTTCGATAGTGGTCGCGCTATTAGAACTATGAATTCAAAAATCGATATCTTGAAATCTATTAGAAATAATAGATTGTAGTTTTTTCAAGAACTTTGTTAATATTTTTGCTGTATTTTCTTTGTAGAGAGTATGTGAATATCTTTATCAATAAAAAAAAATTACACGATTGCTGAAAATTGCTATGCTCTAAAAGTAAATGGATGGATTGTTTACAATTTTTGAATGGAAAAAACAACCTTATCGAATTTTTCTTATGTAAACATATTGTAAAATATCCGATCTTGAAAATAAAAAAAAAGTTTCAATATCTAAAGTTTCTTAAAGGTTAACCTTAAAAGGTTCTTGAAGTATGGCCTGTTATGTGTTAAAAAGTTGAGTTTTTAAATTATCGCGATTACTGACGTTTTCTCTTTATAAAAGAAATGACACCTTAACGATATCCTTATAATCCCATTTCAGATGCTCAGAAACATGTCTAATAATTTTATCTAGTTATCTCTTGAAAAAAAAGTCTTTTAAAAATAAGCGGTTTGCGATTGTGATTTTACTTTACTTGATAGGGAAAGGCGTATCGGCAACGCCGCAACATCACACCGTCGCGCGTCGCGTCGGTTGGTCGCATTTCTCTCACTCCGACTTAATAAGATCTCTATGCGATTTACTTCCACACATGTAAATGCCGACCCAAACGTAACAGTTGCCAGCACGGTATATAACTCATGTATATATATACTTTCCAACACGTTGAACACATTTTTTACATCTAATGTCATCAACAGCATCACGTTTATCAATCTAGTTTCCTTGAGATTTTTAATCATTTTAGTGACTTTACTAAATGGATCTATTGTACTCGTTCCTTTTCTAAAACCAAACTGTATCTTAATCAAACCTCATTTTTGTACTATTTATTCTTCCAATTTCATCTTTAAGGTCATTTCTAGAAGTTTACCTGTATGAAGTTTTATCAGCCTCCTTTTTTGGCTTCCCCACAAGTACTAATTGAGTGCGTTTCCATTTTTGCGGGAAGTTAGCAGCCTTGATGATGCCATTAGAAACGTTGGAGATAATTTTGGGTTGTTCCTCGGTCAAACGTTGGACAACCTCGTGCTGAATTCTGTGTGTCCGCATCAGTAATTAGCGGGAAGTGATCATAATGTGCCTTGGCCTTTTTGATACTATCACTTTTGGGAAATAACTTCTGATCCTGCCTGTTTTTATCAATCGCACGTCTGACCTTTATTTTCTTGGTTACGATCTTGTATGCCTGTCCCCAGATGTCCTCTTCCAAATTGTCTAACATGGCTCTCCATAACTGCTCTTTTGATTTTAGAATCTTCTTTTTAAGGGTACTGCGCGCTATACGGTACTCTGTTTCGGCTTCTTTTGAATTCGTCTGGGATAATTCATTTCTGAGCAATCTGGTAGGAGTTCTTCTTGCTCTCAGACTTGTTTTCGTGCGTCTGTTATATCACTATTCTATCAGTATGCTGGTTTTCTATTATATTTACTATTATACTACTACTCAACTCTAATATTTACAAGTTAATAAGTAATACTTTTTTGAAACTTTCATTTAGAATCCATACCAAACAAAATACATAAACCTTTATAAATAAATCACATATTGACCATTTGACCTTTCCAATATCGCAGCATTGTAAGAAAAGAATCGAAAATTAATGTAGACTATTATTTACTATTATTACCACAATTTTGTAATAGTTTATTGTTTCGATAAATGAACTATAATTAAATAAACCTAGCCAATTTTAACAATACTACATTATTATTCTATGATATGCCTATTGAAATAAATAGGACTTAAGATTTTGCACCCTAAATTAAGTAACCAACTTTAAAATCTTTAATAAATAAATATGTATTTCAAATCTAACCAAAAATTAGTTTGAATTGAGATAATTGTTATCTCTCATTACTTGCTACTCATCATGGTGGAACACGATTATTTTAACTTCATTATTTAAAAGGAAGTAATATTTATACAGGGTGTTTTTTTTAAAAAACATGTGCCATGTTTCAAAAAACATATGCCATTGAGGGTAAAACTTACTATAAGTGCGACATATTGTAATGCTAATAAAGTGTCGACAAATATGTCGACACAAGAGACGTGCATATGGGTTATCACTGGAATATTTTTCTAAAAAAAATATGTGCGCAACTGACTTTTTTTTATTTTGTAGCAGACGTTGTAGATTAAATGGTGATTAAAAGTTGTCTCTTGATATTTTGTTGATTTCGGTCTCCTTGATGAGATAAACGCAATTTAATTTAATTATTAATTTGCGTTAATCCAATTCTAATAGCAACCGCAAACTAACTTGTGTAGCAACATTTAAAACATTTTAAAGTAATTAAATTACCAAAATGTTAACAAGTACTCATTAATTTTTCATCAAAAATTATAAAAACAGTTCCTATTTTAAAGTTTTAAAGTTACAGGATATTAAAAAATAGTCCTTTTGTACTTAAATATCTTAATATTTTAATTTTATTAATTGCCATTAGTAAAATTGCATTTATCTCATCGAAGAGATCGAAATGGACAAAATATCAAGGTGAATATGTCAGTGGCGCACAGTTTTTTCTTAATATATATTCATTCCAGTGATAACCCATATGCACGTTTCTGGTTAATCTGTCGATGCTTTTTTAGCACTAAAATACGTAAAGGTGCGTTTAGACTTAAGCACGCACGAGCTGAGCTTAGGCGCACGGCATTCATTCGCGCTCTCGGCTCCGTTTAAATTAAAAACTTATTTTTCGACGAATAAAGTGATCCACTTGTGCGCGCACAGCAGAGTTGTCTCATACCGATCAATATTTTTTTTGACACAGGAGAGCTATATCAGCAGAGGAGGGCTATGATCAGTTCAAAAACTTTACGAGAATGACCTGGCTGACTTGAATATTTACTAAATTTAATTACATCAAAAATTACGAAAAAAGATAAAAAAAACAATATCGCCAAAAGAACGCTGAGCCTTTACTTTACGTTTCTTGGCAAGTTTTTAAACCTTCCATCGCGTATATTATTCCTGAAACAGCGACTGTAGGTATATTTCTGGGGTATATATCGGATTCAATGAAGGTAGAAGCAGATGATGGGGTATTAGTAGATCTATATTCTGAAATATTCATATCAGATGTACTTGGAGATGTAAAGTCGTGATGGGAGCTGGTGTTAGATGTAACGGAATGTTCATTACTGAAAGCTAGGGACGTTTATAGGGGAGAGACTGTGGAAATATTATTACATGGAGAAAACAGCTTTTCATTTTTTTAGCATTATTAATATCGGTATGTTCAATATTAATTTTATTTGCAAGGTCTTGCCATCATTAATGGCAAGTAATTTTTTTTGGTTTTTGAATAATACGCAGAATGGTTTACGTCCCATAATTTGGTTTGGTTTGGAAAGTCGTGATGGGAGCTGGTTTTAGATGTAACGGAATATTCATTACTGAAAGCTATATAGGGACGTTTATAGGGGAGAGACTGTGGAAATATTATTACATGGAGAAAACGGCTTTTAATTTTTTTAGCGTTATTAATATCGGTATGTTCAATATTAATTTTATTTGCAAGGTCATTTATTTGCAGTTATTTTTTTTGGTTTTTGAATAATACGCAGAATGGTTTACGTCCCATAATTTTTTTAAAATAGTTTTCATATTCTTGTATTGACAGTAATGAAAATTCGTGGTTCCATAATTTAATTTAAGAAAACGAAAAATAAACACACCCGTACATACGCAGACAAAACGAATTGCCGGTGCAAACTGAGCGTTCGCGCACACATAAAATCCCTTTGAGCACGGACCAAGAACCGATACAGACGGCTCGCGCTTGCGGCTGCTCGCGCACGGGCAGATTCAGACTGAGCGTGCGCGCACAGCCGTTCACGTTATTTTTACGTGAGGAATTTCGCCACGAGAGATGGCAAATGTTTTTAGAAACACTCTGTAGATTACTGTTTATGCTTTACAATAAAATAAACTAGTAAGAATATATTTATGCTTACTGTGTCGAGTAGATCGGCCATTTTCAATAAGAAATACAAATATGTGATTTTTAAGAATTTTAGACCCCAATAACTGTTAGAATAGTCCACCGGTGTACATTGAGTATCAACGACGCTCCATGCAGTCCAACACTAAAAATATATAAAATTGATTTTTTTTGTACCAAAAAAATAAATGCTCGACTTACAATGTATACAACGTAAGAATTAACCAATACTTGAACGGTGTTATAAAGAATCATCACATATTTGAGATCAAAGGGTGGTCTGTTTTTCATGTAATTAGGACCCCAATCAAATACGAATTTGCAGTATAAAAAAAGAACTATCACTACTGGTAAAGGACTAGACATCAATGGTAAATCTGCAGTCCGAGGATCTAAAATAGAAAAATTATTATAATATGAATAATGCAGTGCGACTGTTATTAGTAGGTATAATTATTGTTGGAAAAGAAAAAAGAACTGGTGGCTCATTAGCATATTTGAAAAAAGTATTTCTTTACGAATAATTCTGTACCACACACTTGGTTTTTCGAATCAAATTGTCATTATATTTGAAGACTGCAAAGGAAAAACCAGATATGTCACGTTTTTATAGAAATTAAGATGACAACACAACTTTATAGGCAAATATTAGCGTTATTCGATGTACCATCAAAGAAAGCATCATTACGCTTAGTCCCAGAGATATTAAAGCTTGGTTCATGGCTTTTCAGTACAAGGCAAAAACCAGAGTAGTCCACGCGTAAATGGCAAAAACCAGAGATGTCCTTACGAATGGGCGACCAGCATGCATCTTGCAGTTAGTATTACATGTAGCAAATTTATGTATTCTAATAAAAACCTAGTTAAATATTAATTTTCTTCCTACAACAAAAAAATAATACTTTAGATTTAGGTTTTATACAACCTTTAATTGGACATCGCTGGTTTTTCCCCTGTTTTGTTTTGCATTTTGATATTTTTATTTCTATATTTCAGAATATCGCGATAATTAACAATATTAATAATTCAGAATTGGTAGTAATATACAGGGTGTTTTAGATTTTAATCGTGAAAATTTAATAGACGATAGAACTTGCAAAAATAAAACAAAAAGTTCATATCAACTTGTAAGATTTAAAGCTTCCTTTTTGAGATACAGGGTGTTAAAGTTACTTAAAAAAGGAAAACAAATTAAGATATTTGAAAAACTATTTAACCGATTTTGATATAACTTGACCCGTTTATAATACTTACTATGGGACTTAATTTGATGTAATTAGATTTAAGTTTAATGGCCAGGGGCGGCGGTGGGGCATCACTGTTAAATTATTTTAAAGGAAAAAATATTCACGCCACTGCTTTTTTAGAAGTTTAATATTATTTTTGGATTTAGTAATTAAAAATATTATTTTTTTTCTCCTGATTTTTTTGTCTATCTTGCTTACTTCTTGCGAAAAAAAATTAAATTAATTTATTCACTCCACCCTGGACAATAAATTAAATAATAATGGTTAGGTTATAGACAAAAAAGTCAGGAGACAAAAAAATAATATTTCTAAAAAAGCAGTGGCGTGCCTATTTTTTCCTTTAAAATAATTTAACAGTGATGCCCCACCGCCGCCCCTGGCCATTAAACTTAAATCTAATTACATCACACACACAAATTAAGTTCCATAGTAAGTATTATAAACGGTCAAGTTATATCAAAATCGATTAAATAGTTTTTCAAATATCTTAATTTTTTTTCTTTTTTAAGTAACTTTAACACTCTGTATCTCGAAAAGGAAGCTTTAAATCTTAAGGTGGGTATTCACTTGCAACAAAACACTCCGAACGAACCAAACGCGCCGCGCGCGCTGTAACAAGTTTGTGTAGTCAGTACGTTGCGCCGAACCGAACCGAACGCGCCAAACATTTTCCGAAGCTTGTCGGTAAACGGGATTTGGTCAAAAAAATTTGTTCGTTGGCCGGTGTTCAGTGGATACGACAATTTTGAACGTTCGTTGTGTTTGGGGTGTTTTTAAACTGTACCTAGCTATGGAGTGGAACAGAGAAAAGTGTTTAGAGTTAATTGATGAGTTTGAAAGGCGGCCTGTTTTATTAAATTAATAATTAATTATTAAATTAATTAAATTCTTCTTATGCATATAATCTAGGTCACTAAGTAAGGCCATTGACGGCGCTAAAAGAGGCGCCTTGCCCACATTTTTCGTCCTTTTATTTTTTTCTCTTTTTTGTTACCCGCTAATGCCTCTATAATTAAAAAAGCACCAGCGGCTATGGTAATATCAGATGCATGTTTATCGACAAACACACTAAAACTGATTCACACACTGATTACTGATGGGAACGCAGCGAACACCGCAAACAGGCAGAACGCTCCGCGCAAAATGTTTTGTTGCAGGTCGTTCAGAGCGCTCCCGGAAAATGTTTTGTTGCAGATTGTTTGGAGTGCGCGGCGAGTTTGGTTTGTTCGGAGTGTTTTGTTGCAAGTGAATACGCACCTTTATGGTGCATTTAGACTTGAGCACGCACGAGCTGAGCGTGCGCGCACGGCATTCGTTCGCGCTCTCGGCTCCGTTCAAATTAAAAACTTATTTTTCGACGAATGAAGTGATCCATTTGTGCGCGCACAGCAGTGTTTTGTTGGCGAAAATAATGGACGACCAAGAAATAGTCGAGCCTGAAGTCATTGTTATGCACAGCTTAATTATTAAAAAGAAGATAAATCGAAAACATCGTCGCTGGTGGCAAACCCAAATTTTTAGAAATTGATATAATTTACTGCAACAACTTAGTGTCTGAGGAGCGCTATGATCAGTTCAAAAACTTTACAAGAATAACCAGCCCCGACTTTAAATATTTACAAAATTTAATTAACACCAAAAATTACGAACAAAAGATACAAATTTTAGAATAGCAATTTCATTAATATCGACATATTCAATATTAATTTTATTTACAAGGTTTTGCAATGCATTATATTTTTTTTTGATTTTTTAATAATACAAAGAATGTTTAACATCCATAATTTTAATAAAGAAAACGGAAAAAAATTACACACGCACGCACGAACGCAGACAAAACAAATTGCCGGTCCAAATTGAGCGTTCGCGCACACATAAAATCCCTTTCAGCACGGACCAAAAACCGACACCAGACGGCTCACGTTCGCGGCTGCTCGCGCACAGACAGATTCAGGGTGAGCGTGCGCGCACAGCCGTTTACACTTGAGCATTCGCGGAGGATCAGTGCGTGCGTGCTCAAGTCTAAACGTACCATTACAAGTTGATATGAACTTTTTGTTTTATTTTTGCAAGGTCTATCGTCTATTAAATTTTACCGATTAAAATCTGAGACACCCTTACATTGTCCTAATAATTCAATCGTAAATAATACATTTCTTAAAAATTTACGAATGGGGATAAGATTCTAACACTAAATAGAATTTTTCTCAGCTCCAATTAAAATGGACAAAGCTGTTTTTTCCGTGTAATCTTCACTTATGGCCACCACAACTAAAATAAAATTTACAATTCTTTTTTTTTAAATGTCAAAGTTGACGCATATGCTCTGTCATTCTATTCAGAATACCATTTTCTATGAAATGCAGTCAAAAAATACCAAGGGTGTCATTTAAAAATCGGGAGTAGTAGATTTCCGGTAAAAGAGGAAATAACCGAAAATAATTGAAAACATCAATCAATCCTAATTTATGTCATATACTAACGTACCAAATCTCGTTTTTTTTATCTGAAAAATTGAAAAAGTTGTACAGGTGAGCCACTTTTGAGACGCACCCGGTATAATGTAGAATGTTTAGGAGAGGATTAATCACCGCGACCTTAAAGATCTATTGTGTGTTCCCCTTTCTTGAGTTATAACGAGTTATAATGAGTCTCAGGGCTTTAACAAAAGCCAGTATCTGAGACGGTTCTACAGAGGCTAGCTCTCCATCCTCGACATCAGCCGTACCAAAGTTTATGGCATGAACGGTTGTCGTTTTAGCGCACTCAGTGATAAGGTGATCTGGTGTTTCTCCATTTTCCCCAAAGAATCTGCATTCGCCGTTGTTTCTCAGCTTCAGCCTGCTGAAGTGTTCGTTGAGGAGACAGTGCCCTGTTTGAAACCCCGTGACAATCCGAAGATTGCTATTACTTAAATCAAGAAAAATCTTTTTTGATTTTTCTCGCTCGTAAGTTCTGAGGAACTTTTCGAGTCTCTTATTGCTGTCGGTACTTGAGCCGACCTCAAGCTTGAGCACGGTCTTAGATGAAAAATGTACTATAGAGGAGACTTAATCAAGAAGGCGTCAAACTGCACATGCGTATAGAGACGGAATCTCGAGTCTTGAGTATGGCTTGGCTAAGTTCGACTCTGAGATTGAGATCGGACTAGAGGTACAGCAATTAGACCATTGGAGGACTCCCATTCCAGGTTAGGGATGGAGTCTTCCAGGTTCTTCAGTTCCGCTTTTAATTGTTTTCCGCTAGAAAAACAGAACGGTTCTGATCCAGTTAGTGGGAGTGTTCGCTCCTTTTCTAGCTAGATTATTTGCTTTTTCATTGCTTCTATCCCTTGATGAGGTGGCACCCAGGGTAGGAGGACTTTATTTTCTTTGCCTAATTTGTTCAGCTTTCTAGGCATTCTTTGACCAACTTGGAATTGATGGTTACTGAGTTGATCGCATTTAGTGCTGCTTCACTATCGGATAAGTCATTTGCTGTTTTCGATAGTGCCTATCTAAGATATATATATATATATATATATATATATATATATATATATATATATATATATATATATATATATATATAGATTGTACGCATCTTTCGATAATGTAGATTTCTTCCTGAAGGACGCTGGGTTAGGTGCCTATTGATTCGGAGTATTTAGTTGTCGGCCTAAATACTCCTAACTCTGTCCCTGCTTTGGTTTTGGAAGCATCAATATAGCACGTTTTGATATGGTACCCGATATAATAGTAGACTTTAAACTATAGTGTTGTATGCAAATAATATTCAAGAGGGTGTCAGAAATACTTATACGTATAATCCAAAATATTATGTATAATAGGAAGATACAAACTTACCTGATAAGTCATTCATCAGCCAAAAGTAATTTTCAAATATTCTTTTTAGAAGCAGCGCCATATTTTTAAATTAATTATTAATTACTTTATTAACTTTGTTGTGCTTCAGTTGTAACTTACTGTACTTGAAGAAATAAAATCAAAATGTACGAATTATTGTTTTTGCTCATTCGTTAATCGGCAACTAAAACGCACAACACACCAAAGTTGAATAAAATATTTTTTTGTGAAGTAAAGCATTACCATTTTCGGAATAATTAATAAAACGCTATGTAATCGGGTATTTGTAATTATAATGAGGATTTATTTGACTGTTTGTAAGGTTTTATGGATATAAACTTTATACAAAAGTTTAATTTTTACTTTCCCTTTCTATCTTCATTTAGTCTTAATATGATCTATTATGTTTTTTTACATAAGTTTTCTTTGCATAATACAGTTATTATAGAATCCACGGAAACTTAAAATAATATATCTAACATAATATTTACTATTCCTGTTAAAAAACATGTTTAAGAATAATCACGATGTTAATCGTAGATGCCACAAGCAATTAACAATATCGATAATTCCATCCAGATTCCTTCCATTTTTTTACCAACTTTATTAAGCTTATAAATAATCAAGTACCTTTAAAAAAAGTTAAACAATGCAAAATTGAAAATGCATGGCAACGAAAAAAACTTTCATCAAAATGTTGTAATTCCATACCGAAATATAATTAACCCTGATTTGTTTTCATATTATATGCACTAATATGATTAAATAATGTGAGAAATATTAGTGCGCATTTAACTGTTTTCAGCTTTGTGAATACTTATGCGATAGTTACCTTTTACATAAAGTAGTGTTAAGTAGTATAATATTTGGATATGGAATGTTGAATCGTATTTATGTTTCCAGTGTACGGAATGCCCAATATTTAACAATTTACAAATTACAATTAAGTATATTTCTAAAAACCCGAAAACATCAAAAAATATGTATTACTATTGATACGATACTAGTATACAAATAAAGAGGAAACCGTCGTGGCTCACTGACAAAATGAAGTACATAAATGCAGAAAAGCATAACAACTGCTTACACATGAAACTTACTTGAAAAGCTTACAAATAGGACAATGGAGAACAGGTACCATTGGAAACTTAAAAACAGCGAAGTCAGATAAGCAATAAAAAAAGAAGAAAACAGCATCTGGGAAAAGAAATTAGTGGAGATTAAGAGCATGATAGAAGGTGCCCAGAGCACTAAAGTTTAGAGAACCATTAGAGAACTAAAATTAGATAGTAAAAGAAGGAACACCACCTTAATTGGCCTAAAAGCTTTAACATCTTAATACAGGGCACTATTGATTGAAACTAGGCCAGATGTCATAGTTGTAGACTCTGCCAACACAGAAGAATATCATGAAAGAAAACTAAATATATCAGTGGAAGACGCAAAAAACGCGAATGAAAAATAAAAGAAATTCAAACCCAGGTAATATCCCAGCTGAGCTACTTAAATGCAGAGGTTACTCTCTGCTCTCTGATCGAACCCGAACCCTTAGCAGCCCTATTGAATAAATGCCTAGCAATTAATAAAATACATTAAGAATGGAAATTGCCTCATTTAGTGGTTATCTATATTCAAAGAAATGGTGCAGAGGACTAAGTATCAATTGCACGTTGGCCTTGATGCAACAGAGGACCAAGTGCTAATTGTACGATAGGCAGGTTGTTTACTAGAAGTCTACAATCCGAAATAAGGGCAAATACTGGTCATAAAATTGGAGAAGACCAAAATGGATTTAGACTGGGCCGACCTTGCGTGAACAACCTTTTCATATTTCATCAGCTTCTGAAAAAACAAATATTTGTAGAACAGGAAGTTCACTTAAGTTTTGAATATCTTGAAAAGTCCTTCGACACAATACCCCATCAAAAATTCTCTCGAAAAAGGCTCTCGAACGGCTAGCTGTCAATACGGATCTAGTAAAAATAATTAAAGAACTATATAATAACAATATATCGCTCATAAAATAGGGAATCAACTATTTGAACCTATAATAACCACAAAGGGTCTTAGACAAGATTGCAGCCTCTCAATGTGAATATATTTGAATTTCTATAGGCGCACAAAAGTGTTTTACTTTAAATTTTGCTTCAGATGGGTTAGTGCTTGCGCAAGATGCTTTTGACTTTAAGTACATGATGAGGAGACTGTATACAATACGACAAATGGGGCCTAGCAGTAAGTCAGTCAAACAGAATATCTGGTAATCAATAATGAAGCGGCCTTTAAAGTTTTGATTATGGATGATACTCAGGTCACAAAGGTCGACGACTTTAAATATTTAGTGTCAATCGTAACTCAACAAAGCAATTGAATAGTAGGATGTCTGAATTAATTGTGGTCGTGACAAATTTTGATTGAATCTATGATTGTGAAGTGTGAACTCAAATGCCGAAATTAAGAGAAGACTTACAGCACTCGAAAATTGTGCGTCTCAGAAAGAACTCAGGCATATCGAAAATGGACCGAATTTAGGTTGATTCTCACTATACCTTCCGTTTCCATTCCATATCCATTTCATATCCGTTCCATATATTTTATTGTATTGACGCTATACGTAAGCGATGGTTCCGTATCAGTTCCATACTTTTTATTGTACAATTTATATAATTATGGAAGTTTGATTTTAAGAATTTGATCTTCTGAAAAATGTAATAGGTATAATTAAGAGGTGAAAGAATAAATAAACACCATCAAAATTTTAACAGAGCTGGTACAAATGTAAGAACTTGACAACACTGTTTCCGATACGCCTCAGTTCGTCCACCAAAAAAAATGTATGGAAGGAAAGGATATGGAACGGAAGGGAAACGAAACGGATAGTGTGCATTGTCTTATTCGTTTACATGATATAATATTTTATGTAAACGGACGAGAAATGGAAGGGAGTTGATAGTGAGAATCAACCTTTACTGATAGAGAAATCGGACATCGAATGAATGCCTCAGTACTAAAGAATAGCTAAGTACTAAACCGAACTGGGAAGCAGCAGTGTTGCTGTATTCTTCTTACAGATACCTTAATCAGATTTAAAATATGCTGATAATTAATTTACTTTACGATCTACTTAGTACTTAGTACTTTACTTAGTACTGAAATAATTCCAAGAAATATTTTTTTTCACTAGGTATAAGTAAACATATTGAATGAAACACAAAAGTCAATGACTGACATTCATATACATATAATAAGAAATAATTGGTTAAATTGCGTAAATTATTTTAAGCTTTACGAAACAACGGCGAATGCAGATTCTGTGGGGAAAATGAGGAAACACCAGAACACCTTATCACTGAATGCGCCGAGACGACGACCATTCGTACCATGAACACACCATGAACTTTGGTACGGCTGATGTCGAGGATGGAGAGCTGGCCTCTGTGGAGCCGTCTCAGAGACTGGCTTTTGTCAAAGCCCTGAGACTGTATGATGAGTTATAACTCAAGAAAGGGGAACACAAATGATCTTTGACAAAAAGATTTATAAATCTAATTTTTTTTTATTAATTTTTCATCTCTCGTTTAAGAAAACTAAAAGAAAAAACAAAGTTTGCCAAGTTCGTCCCATTGACTCAACGCCCTCAGCTTGAAGTGTTGATTTTTAAATTTACTAATACCAAAGTTTATATACCGGGTGAGTCCCAAAAATGGCTCACCCCTATAACTTTTTTATTTTTTCAGATAAAAAAACGAGATTTGGTATGTTAGTATATGACATAAATTAGGATTGATTGATGTATTCAGTTGTTTTCTGTCACTTCTTGTTTCACCGGAAATGACTACAACTTTTGATTTTTAAATGGTACCCTCGGTTTTTTGTTGCTTTATTTGATAGAAAATTATACTCTGAATAGAATGACATATCATATGTCAACTTTGACATTTTCGAATATGGTTTATTTGAAATTGCAACATGCGATTCATAATGACAATTTGACTCGAAATACCAAGTGTGTGGTACCAAATTATTCGTAAAAAAATGCTCTTTCCAAATATGTTATTGAGCTACCCTCGTTCCATTTGAAAAAATTGAGATATGAATAAAAATACGATTTGGGCATCTTTTAACCAGCTAGGACAAGAGACGAATAACATAGACTATCAAATCTATTTTTCCAAGGCTCCTTGACTAAAAATTAGTGTTTTTAACACAGCCATGGCACTCTAGATTATTATTAGAAAATAATAATTTTTCTTCTAAATTTTAAATAGTGAATCGACTGTAAATAAAAATGTACGTATATCATAATGTAGATTTTTACTAGCGCTAATAACTTAAAGTTTATTACCAAATTATTCAGTATCTAATTAATCAATGGTTATAAAACAAAGTACTATTAACTTCCATCCTACTTATTTAATTTTTAAATCATGTATATTCCTTAGAGCCTTATCAGTTCATTCTACCCCTCTCCGTACATTTATAATCTGTTAGCTTTTATATAGAATCAGCTACTGGATAAAAAAAAAGTTTTTGAAGTGAAACTTTATTACGCGTGTTGGGAGTAAAAATGAAAAGGCCGTGACACGACACGCGACACAACAGGCGAGAGGAAAAGTGTTAAGGACAGCCTACGGCTTAGAAAAAATCGTCCGATTCAAATTAAATTTGGTATGTCGATAGATTGGACCAAGGCCAACTTGACCGCGTACGACACGTGTCACTGTGACAGTTTTGACGTAAGAAACGTCAAAAGAGAAACGTCAAACGATAATGAGTCGTTAAATCGCAACCAAATTTGATGGGTAAGGTAAATGTGAGCGACGGTGCACACGGTCCAATCCTGCAAAGTTGGATACGACGTTTCGTTTACATCTTCAGCAGGGTGGAACTAAGGATTTGATATTGAAGAAAAATGTGGGTCGATTTCGGCATAATCGGGGACGGGTTACAGGATGACGTCCTCGACGTTTAGTACCGATGCCAAGGAATGGATGAAATCATCAGAAGTTTTATATATTAATTATAGGTCGATTGGAACCAAACTCGCTACGTGGATAGAGGTTGAACCTGAATGGAGTCCTCAGACAGACAGACGGTCATTTTACTACAAATCTTGTGAAAGTGAATCAAATTATTCATTAATTTTTAATGTATTACTTTTTCAACATTTCATACTACGCTTTTTCAAATGTATGATCTTCAAATCC